GTAGTACCCTATGCACTGCTATAACACAACTTTTATCCCCGCTGCGCGTGAAGATTACTTTTGCTCAAATCGTACGGTTCTTATTTCCCAATTGACGGCATGACGTCGAATTGTATTCAACTCGCAGAAAACCCATTTGTGGAGTTTAATACTATTTTTAGAATCAAGAATTCGCTTTTTTCAGCCAAACTGCGCTAAAAAATTGCACAAATATTTTCATTAAAGGATTTATTTGTGTTTCTGTTACTTTTTATTATTACTACTCGTTCGATAAATGAACCAAAAGTAAATTATTCCTCATTGAATAATACTAATACAACACATTAAGTAAATAAATATAGAACCTTTGATTCTTTCCGTATATGTGATGACAGTGCTAACAAATGCTTCGCAATACAGAGCGAGCTAAGCTATTAGACGTCCAAAGCTGTATCTCAAGTCACTTTACTTCGTAGAATACGTAAGTTTCAGAGATGCTGTCATGGTTTTTGCTGCATGCAACGTACAGAGCCTATTTCTTTCAGGTCCTGATTGGATAGATTACACCAGAGCATGCTAAACTAATTACGGCAACGCACGTGAAGGCTATTTGTTCAATGGAAAATATGCTTTTTGATGGATACTAGTTGATTTTCACATTACACTTAGAGAAAATCTCTGTAACTAGTCCTTTTTCCAAGAACCAACCTGGGGACAATAGCAACATTCAAAGACTCATATGAGTAGAAGATTCAATGAAATTATAACCATATTTAATGATTACTTAAAACAATCCGTAGGTACCTTATAAGGATTCGTTTAATTTTACTAAATAGTTATTTTATGTTAATTTGCTTTACTGTCTTCCACTCTTCCCATTTTCCTACCAGAAGGTAAATTTTTAGTTCGCGTGCATCCAAATGAGGTAGAAAGGATATAGTATTTAAAGGAAGGTTTTAGAGGGTAGAATTAGAGTCTGTTCCGCCTGCTGAAGGCCACGTTGCTAATTTGATTTCCTTGAGAGCTATATTCTGTGGCTTTGCGTTATTATTTTCACCATTTATGCTTGTCACGCCGACTTTAGATCAGGGCCAACTTGCGCGTTTCCCTATCTGTGTAACCGTTGGTCTATCTTACATTTACTTAATTAAGTCAAATTCATTACTTTTGATTCAATGCATTCCCTCTGAGAGGCCAGAGTTTTCGCTAAGAAAGCACAAATTTTCCAAAACTACTATGAGAACAAATTATTTTTTTAAATTTTAATGTAAAAACTCTCCTGGTATTACATATCCGGATTTGTGCACTTTTGATATGTTGCCTTGATTTCTTTGACATATTTTAATATGCACGTATATATACGTTCTTACAGATATAAAAAATATTCTAGGCCGTATATATACGACCTTGCAGCTTGGAGGATTAATACTCGCTATTTTTCTAAGCACGAAGTGTGCTTTCTGTTAACTTTTATTTGAGCTAAATAAAAGGGTCTTTTACACCCTTATCTCTGCAATACTTTAAAAAATATAGTGATAAAACCTTACAGTTCTCGCCTGTGCTACGAAAGAACACGAGACTTGCAAGACAACTCCTTGCAAGGCAATCGAAATAGTGAAGGATATCATCAAAACTTCCTTTACATTCTTTTATCCCTACTATTTTTCTGCTCTTCTCTAACGAAAACGTTTGTGTGAATTACAAACCAATCATAACGGCACGAAGTATAGTCATAATGATAAAATGCTATATTGATAAAACTGTTTTTATCTATTGCTAAAGAAGGGAGATGTTTGTATAGTTGCATCTATACCTCGTTTTCCTTTAAAATTCATTTCTATGGATTTCAGATAGAGTGATTCAATTTATCAGAGAGGGATTGAAATTTTTGAGGAAGACATGTCGATAAAATTATCTCACTGCTGAAGAAAGAAACGAGCACTAGTTTTCGCATATCTTAAAATGCTCAGAGCAAATCTCGGTGAAATCCTCTTTTTCACTCGTAGGCAGAACGGCTGATCCGCAAAATCGAAAAGTGAAGTAACAGTGTTCTACCCCACGAAAGAAAAAAATATTAAAAGAAAAGTGGTTTTACCGAGCTACAAGATGAAAATATGAAATGCAAAAACAGGGAGATAATACTGAAAAACGTTAAGCCTATTGTTTTCGAGGCAATCTATGTGTGAGGGGGCGGGATGCATCTATTGACTCCAGCCTTTAAGTGATGTCATAAACAAACAAGGCCGGAAAGATGAAGAAGAAGAAGAAAATATCGAAACTTTTTTCATCATACTTTAGATTGAGAATCTTGGAAAAAATAAAAGAAGGAAAAGAAATTGCAGAAAAGTCCTTGGAGGGTAAATTCTACACCTGCAGTACGCCAGTATATCTCCTTTTATACGCCAATTTCAACGAAAAGAAATCGATTCCGCGAGGAAACGAAATTACCACTATGCAGATGAGATGGCTGAGAAGAGAGAAAAAATATGAAAGAGGCGAACCCTTTTATACTGACAAAGATATTGCCAATTACCGACCCAGCGTCCTGCTGCAGCCGTTGTATTAAAGTCGCCGGCACGCGCCAAGCAACAAGTCTCAAATTCTGAAATGCAATTTGTATGCCTCTATGAAAGATTTATGCCGCCGAGGTGCAGCAGAACAAGGAACTATATACCTTCGCGCGCCCCGCATACATAGATTCACTCGCGCACGTCCGCACGCCAATAAAATTTGCTACTCGCTGCAATCAGTCTGCGCAGTGGAGGAGGGATACCAAAAGACAATGGCGGCACAGCCTGACAGCAAAATTAAGTTAATAATGTTGTTGGAACGAGTGCGCTTGCTCTTCTTGTAAACTATTAAGCTTCGGTGTTGAGGCTTATTATCTGCAGGTTGCATCATTCGTCAAAAGTTTGTTTGCCTGGTAATGAGGGAGACAATCCCGTCAGCTGCCGAGTCTCCAGTTACGGATCCATGAGAAGAGGACCTGATGTTCTGGAGCTGGAGATCGCTACTCGCCATCTTAAATCACGTCAGGCGATTAAACCTCCTTGTTGTCTTGCTCATTATATCACTTCGCGAGCACTTGTTGGTTCCGTTTACAAAGTTATGGGACAGTTAGCGGATTCGGGGAGACTGCATGTATGGATGCAGCATAGAAGCAAAAAAGTCGTCATGTTATACAGCGAGGCTTGATGAATGATGGCATGTGAGGCAATTTTCGCCTGTGTAATACCTGCGATATAGCGTTACGCGAAGTGGTCGTTAAAAATCGGCTGTCAGATTTGGCGAGTTAATCAGTTGGCGAGCTATTTATCCCTCCCCGAGTAATTACTAAAATAAATAGTTGGGTTGTTATGCGCCCAGACACTTGTTGTTGCATCTCGCAGTGTCAAGTGGGATCCAGTTTCCAACTTTTATTTGCGTGCGCCAAGTTTCCGTTTTCACGCAATCCCGGGGTTCACCATCGTGCTCTTGATTAGAAAAACGTAATTAGTGCAGGCCTGGAACTTAATTAACGAAATAGATGCGTGCGTGAGTGTCGGAATAAAAATTCAGTTTATGAGGTGGGAAAACGTGCTGTGTTCTTCCAACTCCCATGCACCAGTTTCAGGTTCTATAATTGTATGGTTAGAACAAACTATCTCTTCTCTTTAAAGATTACAATTGCTCTAGAACTAGCTATAACTACGTTGTTATAACAACTTCAAAACTAATTATATTTATTACACTCACTTGCACCGTAATGAATGTTTGCCGCATTTGTGCAGATACATTTCACGTTTTATATTTGTTTCGGGCTTCACATAATTAATCTTTGCTTCTCCAATATTTAGGCACATTTTTCGCTTCAAACGTAAGAAGAAATTTTTATTAAACTTCCGACCTAGTTTGCTCGAATTTAGATAAAAATCCATCTAATAGAATATTTTAATATATTAGACTCATATTTTTATTGCTAAAGCTATTTATCGCAAGAAATATAGGCAGATAACTCGTTTCTTTTCTTTGTAACTTTCATTATCTATTGATTCCATTTATTCGGGTTAATATCGGTAAAATCTTTGAAAATAATGAAGGTAGTTATTGTTCTGATATAATTGGTTAAAAAGCATATTGTTTTTTCCTGAACTCAATTTTAACAGGAATTGTTTAGAGTACGTAATAGCTTTAATTTTATTAAGAATAAAAACGTTTCTGTAAACAGACGTTAATAAATTTTTAAATCATTTTCTACTTGTTGCATATGTTTCATAAATAAAGCACTTAATTCGACTGTGATAAAAGCAAATTCAGCTTTAATAAAGTTATTTTATGTATACGAAGCGTAAAATCACCCTAATAGTTTGAATTTCATAATATTTTTTTTAAATTTTAATTTACACCATTCTAACCCGAGTGCTTACCAACACCTGTTGCTTACTGGTACTTTGACGCAGATTAAAATCCTATCTGTTTTAGAAGGAATGCTTTCAGATTTTTGATCTGTGAAAATTGAAAGATAAATTATAGATGTTTTGGTTTTGATATTTAAAAATTTTCGATGTGCAATGATTAAAAAAAATTCGAAAAACTGCCAGAAATTGGTAAATTTTGGCGCAGAATCGGAATAAATTTTATTTAGAAAACAACTGTTCTATCCAAAAAATTATACAAAAGTTGAAATTCTACGCATTCGATTCTACGGAGACAGATATGAATAAATATACAAAAATCGTTTCAATATTAAATTTTTAAAAAATATGCAAATCGAATTTTTTTAAAATGCCGCTTTAAAGTACACACCGACACGTCTTGGAGAATCTGTGAGCCGAGTCCATAGTTCTGAGCTATAGTTCCATAGTTCGTCTCTGCATTATGCGATAGACTCATTCATCCTTACACAAGCACTCACAGAAGACGTGTCACAGAACAGTAGCTATGTAATACAAACACATCTAAATAAAAATTTAATGATTTTGTTTTTAACTTGTGTGCTGCAATATATTAGTGAACTTCATTTAGAGGTTTCTATTGTTATTCTTGTAGGCCCGGGAGGCCACCAAAGCGAGCAACGATGGTCGGCATTAACCATAATGGAGCAAACCATAGTATGCTTCTCAAGAAGTCTCGGATGGACGGCGAATACCCTGGGTATGAGAATGGACATATCGGAGGTAAGGTTTTAATAATTTAAACACGATTTGTAAGATACTTTTTATTCCCTCTTCCTCTTTATTTTCTGCTAACAGACTTTTAACTTCTTGCAGCCCAGGGATAATTATTTTTCAGTTCACTTTTATGTTACAAAAAGGAAACATAGTGGAATCAGTGAAAACGATTTTACCAAAATACTTATTAAAGATAGAAATGGGAGAAAAAATCCCATGCGACAAATACGACAAATTATGACACAAAACGACGAATACAGATGGCAAAATACTACAAATTACGAACACACAAAAAGAAAAAGCCTTTTTTGGGTTACATTAAATGTTTTTCTTTAAGCATATATTATTATTATTTATATAGAAGATTTAAGTAAGTTTTATAGGTGAGAAAGTTACATCGCAAATTATCACAAGCTTTCGGAGTTACTAAACACAGAACAATAGCTTTCGGTTATGTATGCCAGATCATATCGTAATAATTTAATTTCCTGTGGTTAATCGGTAGCAGGAAATCTTAATAATCTGCTGTAATCTATTATCAGACGGTTGATTATTTTATTTCTATGTTTTTTTCCATTTAATGATTTAATATTAATTCTTTCCCATTTATTATTTTATTCCTTCAGTACACAAATTATTTCTCAGTTATCGTTCTTTTGTTACTGTTACATTATTATCAAATTATCTACTTTTTCTCAGCAGTGGAGAGTTATATGAATGTCTATAAATCTATTAATGAAAATGAAATTAATCATCGATTGCAATGAAATGAAGAAAATGAGGTACTTAAATTTCCAGGAAAATGAAGATATATTCCCAGTTATTTTGCCTCTCTTTAAATAAAGTAACTAATATGTAGAACAATTCAACAGGTAAACAAAATTGTGCATGCTTTCTTTTTTAACATAATCTACACAAATAAAAAAATTTTGCAAGCATTGTAAGAATGCTTCAGCCGCTATATAAAGTTGTACCTTTTTCCTCATTTTAGATATAGGGACATTTTTTTAGATATTTTAGATTCAATATGAAAGTTCATGCCAAATTTTCAGACTCACAGTTTCAAGAATGTACAGAGAGGCTGAAACATAGCAACTTTCGAACAGGAAGCTGTGGTATTCCAAATCAGCAGAAGGTTTTGAAGGAGAACTTGGTACTGCAATGCAGTTAGGTGAATGTCAATACTTGGCACAGATGTTAAGTAAATGTAAAATCGTCCTGTTAAAAAAGGTAATAGGGGACTTGCAGTGTGAATTAGCCTCTGAATTCTGGAAGCAGTCAATTTATGCATGCAGGATATTTTAAAAAGATTTCAAAAATAAATACTTTTTTAAACATGTGAAAGTGTCATTGTTCCAGGTTTCAAGAGTTAGGCAAACTAATTTAAGCAAGAATTCGGACTATGATAAATTTTTCAGATGACACATTAATTAAATATATATGAAATTGAAAATATAGGAAATTTTTATTGCAGTCATTTAAACACACCCAACATTCATCTATAGTACATTTCTCCATTTTTGTGCGGATAAATGTTTCTCATTAAGGATTCTGCAGCACGCTCTGCGTTCGATGATATGTGATGGAGAAAGGCGATGCACATTATTATTTCTCATTTAAGATTCAATTCATCAATAACCATACTGTTTACAGGTGACACTAGGCATTTTAATAATTTTGAATCTGTCCTTAGACTTGGTAGATTTCCTTTTAACTTTAAAGATCTTAGCACCATTATAAACATTTCGTTTTCCCTTTTGATATGTATCTGGAACAATTTTTCCGCATGATTTTTTTTTCCTTTCTTGTTGATAATATTACGTATCGTAGCTTTGCATCCATAAACCGTGGCTTTCACAACGTTTTTTAATTACTACATACGAATAATTTCCTTCGAAGAAAGCACAAACATAGCTTTACATCAATAACTTCCTTAGAAGCGCCATTTTGCACGAAAACAAAACTTTTACGTAGCAGAGAATAATTTGGACTTTCAAAAATATATTTGCACACTTTTTTTAATAACAAAGCAAAATCGTCTAAAAGTTGTGAGAACAGAATAAAAAGTTAATTTAGGATTTTATTTTATTTTATTTTACACCTACAAGTCTGAAACATTGACTGTAAATGTTGAAACAACATTCTACATTTTGAACCTAAGTAGGTCATTAAAAGAAAACAATCCAAATATTTTTAACAGTTTGACTATGCGAGAGAAATAAATTCTGTCATACAAAATGGAATTCAAAATACGTTAAAAATCGATACGTTTCTGTATAAATATCTCATTTTGCCGTTTTGTTATTCATTCAGGCTTTATCCATTCATTCTTAACTGAGTTAAGAATTTATTTAACGATACATACAGAACGAGAAAAAAAGCTAAATTATTTCACGATTAATCACCGATGCTTACAAAAGCAGGAATGTATATATATTTTTTTCGACTCCGCACAGATCAATGAATTTTACCCCTGACTCTTGCATGGCAATTAAGTTTTCAATAAGTCATTAATTTTTTCCTCAGAACTTCATTTTTTATCACTTCATTTTTTTGTCCTCAAAGAAGAAGCAGGATCTTAAAAATAGTTTAATGTGTTAGCTAAATGCATCAAGGAGGTTATTCAGTAATGTGCTCTTATTAGAGGGGAAATTGATATACTTCGTAATTGAACTATTTTTATAGGTCATCTTTTGGCTTGAGATTTTGAATATTCACTGCACTGCCCTCCATGTGCCCTTGGTTAAGAAGATAATAACTTTTCATTTCCTTATATTCTTCGAACAAAATGTGAAACATTTAACTCCCGTCAAATGGGAAAAATTTAAATCCCGTCAAAGACTGACCGTCCTTTACAGTAAATAAATTAACTAGGTGTGATATTTGTTCAAGAGAAGAAATAATTTTTTATATATATGAAAAATAAAGTAAGAAACTTTGTAAAATTATAAAAATTAATCGACTATTGGACATTTAAAAGTGGAAAAGTAAAGGCAAAATCTCTTAAGGATCTCATTTCTAGAATAAACTAAAAAATTCTGATGTGGACAATACATGACTTCCTTGTACGGCCTATTAAATTATACACATTATTTGCTGTACTTTATTTAAACTTGTTTCCCCGAATTTCATTGGAAATATATTTCTCATTCAATCAATTCAGTTCTCAGTTCGCGGCAAGAGAAGAATATAAGAAACTCAAAATATCTTCATTAAGAAATGTAAAATACAGAAAACCCTAGAACGCCAAATACATTTACAATAAAAAAATTTTATTATTAAAATTAGAATTTCTACGTCAAAACAAGCAATTCGGGCAACGGGCAGATAAACCAGATTTGCATGCGCGGAACTGAAAGTGAACTTTTGATTCCACTGGTAAAGCAACATTGAAGTTGGTGCACCTACTGACTTAATTCACTATTCTTCTAAGAGTTTCAAATGTAAACAAATGGTAGCCTCGTTAGGCTTAGCGCCACATTTAATTGTCAATAATTCTACAACTAGATTAACTAAAGGAGAGAGAAAAAAAAAAAAAAAAAAAAAAACGAAGAACATAATTCAACCACTTTTAAAGAAAAATGCACACTTTACCAATTTATAAGAATAAAAAACTGAGCTCACCGAGCTGGGTAACAGAGCGGGAATATATATAGATACGTATATTTATATACGTTTGGTGCAGCCGACTGCAACAGAAACAAGAGGTGCACACCTACATGTTATAGCAGTCCCATATACAAAATTGCAACGTTATACATACACTTAATCGTTTTTTAAGTTATGCGAGATACATACATATTTGAGTACGTACAGGCGTTACGAAAAAATTCTTTTTGAATCCATTTTACAGTACGTTTTGAAAAAATAATCTTTTGTTCTGTCCGTAAGTACAGATTTCACGCCAAAAAAACTAAATAGTGTAGTCCATTCACAGCCTAGACAACTTCTTAACTTTTAAATCTCATTTTATTTTTCTAACTACAGGATTATAAGCGCCCTCAAGGCTGCAAGATAAACCCCCTGATCTAATTCCATGTAAGCCTTAAACTTAGCTCATTTATACAAATTTAAAGCAAATAGTTTTAAAAAAGTTAAGTCTTACAAACGCTTCTAAATCTCTCGCTTTACGAAACGTCTTTGTGATTACCCAGTGACAGACAGGCACATTCCCGTTCGGTACAATCTCTGTAAGTCTTAATTCTGCTGTATGGTACCTCAAAAAGTTATAAATATCTTGTTAAATCTCTTAAAGACCAAAATTTTAAAACGCTGACCATCCCTACATTTTGCTGCTCAGCGTTTTCTGCAAATTCTAAAAATGTTGTCTTCCCTAAATTCACCCGCCGGTACGGCTTCACGGGTTGTTTAACGGCTCTGGTGCCAGCCTTGCTGACAAGAAATATTTCTTACAATTCCTTTCACTCGAACAAATGCCGGAATTTTCATTCGAACATAAGCATTTATAATCAAAGGAAATTTAATAACAAATTCCAAAATTTTCATTTTTGTCAAAAGGCTTCTACAACTGTCCAGAAAAGAAAAATAACTTACACAATTGTTTAAGCAAATATCAGTTTATTATGTACAGCGGCCATCTATACGCTAACAGTCTAGGATTATGCAATCGGAAATATTTTAAAATCCATTTACAGTTTCTATTTAACATAGTTATTCAGAGAAAGACAAAATATAATAAAAAGCTAGTTATCTTTGGAAAATGTTGTTTAAAATTTCTCAGTCGAAGTTCTGGGCTATTTGTGATAATCAAGTGAAATTTTGCTTTGCTTTGCGCATATCCAAACCAATATTTTTTGGACAGGAGCGCATTGTCCGAGAAGAGCTACTATTATGTCAAAAATGAGTAATTAAGAAAATTAAGTATTTCTGCGGAGGGGCTGGCTATAGCTATCTTCTCAGAGATACTTAATTTAGGATAGGTATATCGACCTATTCTAGAGATACTTAATTTGCTTAGTGTGCTATAATTCCTCTCTAGAACAAGT